AATTTCGCGAATATAACGTTTTAATTTCTTCAAGATTATAAATCTTTAAAAAGTTAAAAATATAATTTTACAACAATATATTTACTACAATTTTATTTGCACTACACGTTTTATAACTACAATAAAAATGTTTGACGACGGAATTCGAGATTTAAGATTCATTTATTGTTGTGTAATCCAGTTTTTAAATTATATAAGACTCTCGATTCTGAAAAGACGTAAAATGTTTAACACGGTTTCTAAAAAAAAAAAAATATACATTTTAAAAGTATAAAAACATGTAAATTTCTTGGAAAAATTTTAATACCAAACGTTACGTTACGATACATTTTAAGACATTTATAAATTGTAAAAACAGAGTAAAATTAGCGGTAGACTTCGCGAAGCGAGTGCAATCGACAGTATTTTTTTTTTTTTTTTTTTTAATTTCCATTTGGCCGCAATATCAACTACGTTGAATTTGCGCCTATTTCGCGTTAAGCTATGTTCCCGAGTTATCGGTAGATAATGCACGAAGGACAGGCTTACCTATGATTACTTAACCAACGCGACGCGCGATTACCTGTACACTCGTACGACGTTGTGGACAGTATTAGTTGCAAAAAATAGAATGTTACTTGTAAACGATAAAAGTCGAAGCGTACACTTATCATATATGTCTCGACATGTACACGTATGCGCGAGTATCTAAGTTCAAAGCGCGTTCGATTTCACGATGACGTGTGCGCGCGTATACGCATAAGTGTGTGTGTAATTTTTTTAAATAGCAAATGTGATGAAAAGATATGAAACATACTCCGCAATCGATTTACTTAAGTTTCCTTTAAGTAATTTTTAAACTTTACTTTAAGTAATTTTTTTAGTTGCCAAGAGAATAACGCATTAATATATAAATAAAAAATTCTTATTTCAAGGTTCAATCCTCTCGCATTATATATATATATATATATATATATATATATATATATATATACATACGTACAGGGTGTCCCGTATTCAGACATCATTTGGAGATGATTTTTCCTTAACCAAAAAGTCCGAGGCACCAATAATTTCCAAGTTGTAAGCGACTGAAAATAAATAGTCTTGTGGAAACTAAATATTAACAAAATCATATTCTTCGGTTAATTTCAGGTAGAATTTACCTTAATAAAATTTTAATTCAAGGCTTAATTACAATAAAATAGAACATGCAAAAAATAATGATCTTTCTCGATGTTCTCATTGAGGAAAAATCGTCTCTAAATGACGTAAGGTATATGTGGCAACTGATCGATATTTTTGTATAATTTCTTAATTATAGATATACAATCCGCGTAAAAAATAAATGTTCGCTATATTGCGTATACATAAATTTTAAACTTGGTTAAAAAAAATAGATTTATCGATTCAAATGAAATGCGTACGATACAAAGATTAAGCAATTTTGTCAACACGATGAAAGATGATTCATTTTTGTCTTCGTTACAATAGCGGTATAAAAAACCACGTTCTTGCTGTTTTATTTCGAAAACTGATAGCTAATCGGCTAATATCGTTTACATTAATAAACATAAGCATTAAAGATATGTACATAGTTGCGGACAGACTTGATTAATATTATACGTATATTTTCGACGAATGTTAGTATATAGTAATATTAGCTCGTAATATTAGCTCTTTTGCAGATTTACGAGAGAGTTTGATTTGCAGTAGGCGAATTAACATTTAAGCAAATGAACAGCAACGTTTATTACAACACGATAGCATCGTCTCTTGTCGTAATCAACATTCACGGAGAGAATTTTCCTCTCGCGTATGTCGCACGTTGACCAAAGATCAAGAACATCTAGTATAAAACATGGAGATGTCGGCGAGAGAAGCCATAGTTATCACTTATTTTTGCTGCATGTGCTCCGTTGTATGGTGATGAGCTGACACTATACATCGTCTCCGATGACGACTTCTTACCTCGAAGAACTCGCTGAGCTTCTGAGTATCAAACACCAGAGACGGTGTGTTATTCGCGACGTTTGTTGATAATCTTCCTATATTCAGCTTCTCCGCGTGCAGGGATGAGTGCCTTTTTTGTTAGGATTCGGACAGATTTGCGTTCATTCGTGTTAACTAATCGACCGTTCGAGTCATCTTCCGAAAGTTGGAAGGAAAATCGAAAAATCTATTTTAGCTAGTATATAACTAGCGATGAATACTTCACTCTAAGGGAGATATTGGGAGTGCTGATTTTCATTTTTGGACCCATGTTGAAACCTTCGGTGAATTAAATTATCGCGTATATAAGTTGTCGTTGTGGATGAAATATATTCATGATCGCGCGAGTCACTTGACATATACAGGATATTCGACAATGCAAGGGTCATGCGAGTCAAAGCCGGAAATTGTAAGCTGCGGTTCTCATTCGTCGAATAAAAGCTGTTTTTCTCTCGGGTGTGAGTATCGTTGCACAATATTGAAAACCTCTCTCTATCTCGTGGCGCGAAGTCGCGAGTCGACTCGAATAAAAAAAGCGGGCGAACTTGGAAATTCACCTGACGCAACACAGCCGCTGTTATTTATCCAGATTATTTATCGAACCCTGAACTCCACGGACATCGCGGTACTCGACGTCGCGTGTACATATACCTACATATATACAATACGTATTCTGGTATACGTGAGTGCGCTCGCGGCCACTTGGTTACGTCACTGGCATCGTGGACATTATTATGTTCCTACTGACGCAGGTACAATATGCCTGCCACGCTATTAGAGCAGCCTGTGTTAACCTGAAACTCCGCGTAAGCGGAGTGTGTTTCATAACGTCGCGAGAGAGAGAGAGAGAGAGAGAGAGAGAGAGAGAGAGAGAGAGAGACATACTGTAAGCGATATTCCTTTATTATCAGCAAAAATGTGCGTGCGGTATGCCGCGACTCGCTTCTTGAAAAATCACTTTTCTTATATACTTATTAATACCGATATATTCATATATCGCATTCTTTCCATGTCCAAGAAAGACGACTTTGATCGACAGCATTATGCGCGAATTTATAATTATTTCGTGTTTTAAAAACTTATTGTTTGTTAAACAGATCAATCGCAACATTGCTTCGCAAATTTATATTTTCCTCCGAAAAAATACATGTCTCTCCTCTAATCCGATACGAAAAAGAATAACGGAGCAAATGTAGGATGCATCGGTTGGAAGAAAGCATGTGTTCGCGCTTTATGATAGCGATTTCATTACAGTCGTATATGGAGCAACATCTGTACGTATCCACTGCTCGCAACATGACTGTTATTCCCTTCTTCGTAAATTCATCATTTTATTCTTTTTTTTTTAAACTATTATTATACAATAATTGATAACTCGGATCTATATATAGCCACGGGCAGTGCAGTCTCGATTTTGCATCGTAGGATTGCGATAACTCGCGCGCTTGCGATTGATAGTAACATCCTTTCCCACGCTTAATATCAGGATTGCGTTATCTGCGTACGACGCATCAACCATACATAGCGTGCTGCACAATATTTGCCGTATAAATACAGAGTGCACGCAATGTTAAAAAAAAAAAAAGGAAACTTGTAAACTTGAATAAGAATTATTAGATGCATTTATTGCACAATTATACGGATTGAAATTGTTTTTTATCTCTGAATTGAAGGCTATTTGAGCATTTACTATTTCATTTTTCGTTTCATCAGGTGATCATTATTGCATCTATTTGGAACTTTATAATTTTATAAAAACAAAAATATGAATATGTATATTATATAATATACTCTAAGAGAAAATTCTCTCTGTGTATATATATACACACACACAAATATTTTATATATAATAATGATTCAAGTACCAAGCGCATATCTGACGTTATAATTAGATTCGGTATTTTTGCAATGCGTTTTTATCGCATTGAATAATTAAGTCGACGAAAAACGAACGCGGTATGTTATTCTGTTTGATGAAATTGAGGACAAAATCGAGTACGGATAGGCATTATATCATCTCGACCTGCGTCGCTCTCGACATACCGAAATGTGTAAAACGAAGAAAAAGAAAAGGCCGTTACGAAGAAAAGATGGAGACTTTTGTCGTGAGACTGTATGCAAGTCAAACGACGCATTATTCCTTGACCTGACCCAACGAAACCTCCTTTCATATTCATTAGGATCGTCCCACTTCGGTCTGTCGCTTTGGACCACGGAACGCAACAATGTGTCTCCGATGCATCGCGCGAATCGATTTGTGTGGAAAATATCCAACAGAATAGACCTTATATACATGACACTAAAATATTTTATACATTTTGTTCACGGAATATGTTAGAGAGTTCATGTATTATATTAGTTTTTTCACATTTCTATATTGATATGTATTATTTTATCTATCTGAAATATCACTCATGTAATTATGTTCTTTTTCATTTTTCTCTTTTTAAAAAAGGATTGCGAAAGCTGCTTTTGTTATTATATAATTGTTATGTATAATCTTGCGGTAGATTGGATCACATTTAGTTTAAAAAAATATATATATAATATATATGATAAAATATATATTTTATCCTGGTTGGTATTTCCAATTTGGATGAAGTATGCCTGATAAAAATCTCCATTTTATCAAGATCGAGTAAAATATGCTATTCCCGAGTCGCAGGGCCGTATGTATAACACCTATGTATCCATTAGCATTTCGTGTATCGTTCATCTACCGAGGAAAGATTTCCGTCCAGCATCCACGATGGAATCCAAACGTGTTCCACTTAAGAATTCATTTTAAAGACAAGCGGAAAACTTTTATCACATAGGAATCTAATTTTTCCAAATTCCTTTCATTATTTAGTGCACATTTATGTAAACTTTTCAACGCAAGATCTATGCGTGACTAGACAAATTAGCTACGAATTGACTTTTAAAATTGATCGAAATCGAAAGGGAATCCTTTTTTTTTTTTCAACAGTTTGAATTGCAAATCGTGAAAAAGACTCGAGAGATGTGAACGTATCTCCCTTTTGTTGTAGAAGGATACAAATCATATCGATGAAACCGAAGGCGTCTTTTGCGATCCCTCGTGCGTCAACAATCGAAACGCAAAGATTCAGAATGTACGTCAGCTACAGGAACAATTGGCTCAAGCCACCGTGAAAGTCCGCGAATTAGAATACGAGTTGAAACACCTACAAAAGGTAATAATTGTTATTAATAGAATCGTTCTCGCTCTCTCTCTTGAGAAATATAAGTTTGCGTAAACAATTATAATACAGGTGACCACCAACGCGTCCTTGAGAGATGACATTTCCGATGGACATCAAAAGGCTGAAGTCGTACGAGCGAAACAAGATATGATGAATCGTATAATACAAATGGAAGAAAAGGTACCACAGTATATCAATGTACAACATCTGGAACATTTTTCAGTTACAAATTAGATGATTATGAATAGAAAAAAGCTCAAAATCGTGATGAAAAGAAATTGATTCTCGTGTAAGAACACCAGTCATTAATAAAACATAAAGTTACATTATTTAAGAAACATAAAGAGATACACTCTTTTTTTAAGAGGATAGAGAAAGGAACAGTTTAATTCAATATTTTAATTTGAGAAGTACTTAAATAATTCCACGAGAATTTTTCGAAATTAATATATTTGTTAGAGCTGTTATTCTATTATTATCGTTTATTTCTGTTATGAATAAAATGTTTTTTTTTTTTCAATTTTTTTTTCTTTTATTGAAATTATTCTTCATTAATTAATGTCATGCTGCAAACAATTCTCGTTTTACAATTACTTTGAATAATGTTGCCTCGATCAACGTTATATAATTTTTTTATACTATTCAAAATCGATATTTTACGTTTTCTTAGACTCGAGAAGCAGAACGAAATGCTAAGCATATCCAACTGGATGAAGCCAGTCTTATCAATGACTTTCGTTCAGTAATATCGAAATTAAACTCGCGTGAGAAATTTGATTTGGTCAGCGGAGCGTTGAAAGCTTTACAAATCGAAAGCGAGACACGCGAGAAGGTAAAAAATCATGAAAAATCCAATGATCAACTCGAGAAAGTCGATGGTATCGAATACAACACTTTAACTATGAGACATCATTTGGATAATGCAAGTGTGCAAGAAAATAAATCGAGCGATACGACTGAAGAATTTTCGATCAATAAACGGGAAATAATATTACAGCAAAGAATAGAGGAACTCCAAAATGAAAATAAAGATCTTTTGGAAGCTATGGAAAAATTGGACGAAGAACATTCGCAATCCATCGGTAAGTAATAGTAGTAATTTTTGTTTTATAGCTCAGCTACTATCTCAGAGTTTTTATTTATTTATTAATTTTATCGCTATTATTTCCTACAATTTAAAAAAAAAACTATAGTAACATAAATTTCGGTTTGCGCAGAAAAACTATTGTCGCTCAGAGAAGAAACTAATAAAAAGCATCGTTTTCTGCAAAACTCGTACGAGCAGCTTTCCATGGATTACAACAAATGCCAGAAAAAAATAATCGAATTTCGTAACAACGATGTGAAACTCGATGAAAATGCTCATACCAAAACGAGCCATCATCAATTTGTTCAGACCGATAATTTAGACAATTTAGACAAAGTTCCTTTGCAAAGAGACGATGTGGTGCTGGAAACAAGTATTCTCGATGATATTGCTCAGAAAATTAAGATGATTTTGAAAAACTATACCATAAGCAGTATCGAGCCGGGAGAATCCATCTTTGAAGCCATCGCGAAACAATACGTCGATACTAGATGGAAATTAGACGTTTTAGAAAGGAAAGTAACCGAGATTACTAGAGATTTAAAGGAGACCAACGAAATGAAAGACAGCCTGCAACTAGAATGCGAGGAATTGCAGTCTCACATCGATTCGTTATTGTTGGAAAATCAAGTTTTAAAATCGAGTTTACCATCTATTCCCGAAGCGAGCGAAGAACGAGTAGTTTCCTTAGAAACGGAAGTTGAATCTTTACAGGAAGAAGTGAAACGACTCTCGGCTGAAAACGAAACGATACGAGAAACAAACACAACTTTGACGCACGCTGTCCAAGATGAGGGAATGTTAAATCGCGAAGCAAATCATTCATTTATACAGGAAAACATCGAATTTCCAACATGTTTAGAACAGAATAACGGTTCCAACGAAGATGCGGGGTCTATCGAGCAATTACAACTCCATCATGAAAGTGTATCCAAGACGAAATTGTCGGAAAATAATCTTGCATCGTCGCAGCAGGATGCTGTAGATAAATTGGCAGACGAGAATAAAGATTTGTCACAGAAGAATTCGCAATTATATGACACAATTTTGCGAGAATGTAGTCTACGAGAAGAGAATGATTGTCAATTACGCGATTTACAGGAACGACTCGACATAGTTAATCGCGAGAAACTCGAGTTGGAGAATGATATTTTACACAAGGAAAAGGAATTAGAAGTAATGCAGATTCAAATGGACACGAAACAATCTCAAGTTACAAAATTATATCAAGATAATGATAGATTAATTAAAGAAAATGTATCTCTGTCGGAGCAATTAACTGCTACGCACGATGAATCATTGGATAAGATTGAATTGTTGAATACTGAGATGTCGTTGCTTCAGCAAGAACATGAAGATTTGAAACAGGAGGAATCGATCTACAAAGAAGAATTGACTCGGACAAAGAATAAATTGTACGAGGCGCAGCAACATTATGCGAAATTGGAAAACGAACATTGTATCTTAACAACGCAGTATGAACAAGTTGAATTAGAAAAGAAAAATATTCAAACACAATTAGTGATAAGCATGGAAGAAGTTGAAGAGTTGAGTCTTCTACGAAACAAATGTAAGCTTTTAGAACAAGAAATAAAAGTTGTTCGTATTAAAGAAACGCAGTTGTTGGAATCTCGAGAAGACTTTTCGCCAGAGATATCTTCAAACGTAGATAGAGCCAATAAAAGATTGCAGGAAGAACTTTCAAGAACTGTTGCAGATAATTTAAATGGTTTAGAAACGGAAAACATTATACAAGCGGAAAAGCAAGATTTAGTGCCAAAAGATACATCGAATAATAATGACCAACAAACATTCTTATCGATTATCGACGAAGAGAAGGATGCCATCAAAGCACTCAACGAACACCTGATGAGCGAAATTAATGAATTACGTAGCAAATTACAACTTGCTATTGAGAATAGTAAAGAGTCGGCAGAGATGACTAAACAGACGATTGAGGATCTCTCTCATCTTGTTCGAGAAAAAGATCAGGCGATAAGCATTTTACATGCCGAAGTAGATCGCGCGAATACTACTATCGCGCAAACTTCCAACGAACTTGTCGTAATCAGAAATCAGAAGAATGAACTCGAGCAACTTATTTCTGCGAAACATAATGAAAGTTTACAATATCAGAATGAAATTCAAATGTTGATTCAACGCGTGAATGAACAAACGGTTCAAATCCAAAACTTAATTTCAGAGCAAACAGCGAATAAAATACGAGAAGACGCAAATCTGGAGGAACGGCAAAAGGATGAAAAAAATGCCGAAATTTTGGCTCTGACGAAAAAATGTGACGCATTAGAAGCGGCTTTGGTGCAAGAACAGTCCAACAATAGAATTCTGCAAAACCAGCTCGTCGAGAGTCAAAACAGAGAAGCTAACTCTGTTAAAGAATTAGAAAGACTAAGGACGCATTTGGTCGAAATGGAATCGAGCTATACAGACGAGGCTCTAAGTGCTGAAAAAAATTATCAAGAATTAGAGGCGAAATTATTGCAAGCTGAAGAGAAAGTAAAGAGTAGTTCAACGGCTTTCACATCGGCAAATATTCGGGCGAATCAGCAGGTAGAAACGTTGCAGCAACAAATAGCTCTGATTACTCAACAGAGAGATCATATACAGACAAAATTATCTGCTGCAGAAGACAATATTCTACTACAATCTGCCTCTTTAACAAATTTGCAAATAGTTTTGGAACAGTTTCAACAAGGTGAGCAATAGCTTTTTAACGCATACCAATTTTATGTTTCGCTGTTACGATGCACACACACATCTCTCTTGTATATAGGTATAGAAAAAAGAAAAACTATGTGCGTCCCTGTAAAAGATACTTCCACAAATGTCATAATTATATTTAAATTCTAATTCATATATACTATATAATATTGATGATACGATCAACGTTTCAGAAAAAGAACGCGACATTGAGTCAGCTACGGAAAAAATTCGGTCTCAGCTCAATGAAGCATATAAGAAACAAGATGGATTTCTAAATGAAATTTCGATTCTTAAGGTTTGTCTTTATCTTTTGTGTATTTGCATAATAATCTTATTAAAGTTGCCTTTGCTCATAAGTTATTGCACGTGTATACGTGTATTTACAGCAACAATTATCCGAGGCTAAAGAATGCTTGCAAGCTGCCTCGAGACTGAGCGAACAGCTTGAGAAGAAAGATGATCAAATCGAGCGACTCGACGAAGAAGGTAATCATTTTCAAAAATTATTATATATATAATATATGCTGCCTGCATTTTGTTTCTTGTTTATAGCATGATTAGTGTTTTTAAATTAAATCGCATCGTTTTATTCACATCACAAGAAATAACTTGAAGTGTTTTTCTTTCACTGTGATATAAAATATTAATTAAGCCGAGCATGTTTTTATTTTATTTACATATTTGTGCTTTTATTTTAATCCATTGCAATTGGTTGGTGAAATGTGAGAGATGAAAAGCATATCGGAATAAAATCGCCGATAAAAATTGGTTCGATTATCAATATCATCTTAAGAATTATAAATATTATAAATATATAGAGTATATAAACCTTTTCTCATATATAATTACAAATTCTTCTATCAAAATACCTATATATAATATATAGAGAGTCGTATTATAAATTATAATATTATAAATATATGTGCTAAATTTATTTCGCAAAATTAAGTTTACAATATGTAGAGAAAAATTCTATTCCGTGTTTTTTAATTATAATAATGATGATGATGATGATGATGATGTAATAAAATTTTAGCAGCTGCTGCCACAATATCTCGGTAATGTTCGAATATACGCACTATTCAAAACCCATTATTACATTTTTATTCTGCAGATTTCTGAATCAATTATATCAACCATATATATATATAATTTATAATCTTGTATATTGCTTCTTTTTTGTAAATAACATAAAGCTACGCATTTGCAGGCACATACACAACATGTAAAAAAATGTAAAAAATTGATTATTAAAATATATAATTATATTTATATATATATACACTCTTTGCACATACAAACACACACATATACGTACATGTGATTAAAAATACACTATATATGAGTGCATTATTGAGACACAAACGAATTCTAGTGTTAAATGATCAATGTGTGCGCGTTCTGTGACTAATCTGCGAAAGCAAACACGTATTTAATCTGGTGATGTAGTCAAATATCAGCTGGTAATTCTGGGATTGTGACAATAGCCCAGGATTCTTGCTGGTATCTGGCTACGAACTGGATCATCGCCTTTGCATACTCACAAATCACGTATTGGTTTTGATTCATGCAATTGCCACTGGTGCTGGTACTACGTTTCTGCACTTTACTACATTTTCTTGGTGATTCCTAATGGAAAAAAAAATATATCCAGGAACTTGAAAACAATCATATTAATTTTGCACTTTTTTCTTTCTATTACATGTATAAGAATGATTGAGACGAATTATCTTTATTGCCTGTTTTTCCAATTTGATTGAATCAGTCATCGTTTCATTATGTCTTCTTATTATATTTCGCAACTAATTATTATTATAGTTCAATTGTATGCGAATGATTATATTTATATCTTATATCTATGCAGATATATCGTATTAGCGAATTGATCTTGCATATGTAGCAGGTATTATCTTTTTGATTGATTGAAATTCATAAGATTACGAGATGAGACCATATATTATATATACATATTGGAATGCATGCACGAGAGATAGCAGAAAAGAATGTATCGAGTAATACAAATTATCAGCAATTAAACTTTGAAAGCTATCTGTAGTTTTCATAATTAATTGTATTAATGACGATATATATTTAAAAAGTCGATACACCAGAATAGCGCAAAACGATCGTAATCGTGTGCTAATATATGTATATTATAAGAATTGCATTGCGTCTCTAAATAATTGCCATTGCTTCCATTTCTGATTCTTTGATCGACCAAAAAACCTTCAACTAGTGTTTTCTCGATAAAATATGTGAAAACTTTTCTAAATGATAACAGAGATTGGAAATGGAAGAATTGACAATAGGCAAATCGAGATACGAATAGATAACACAAAAATCTCTCTTATATATTCTACTTATTATAGTTTCAAGTAGATTGCATTATTATATAAATTTTTAACATTTTTAACATATTAAAATATGTATTGTTTTATAGAGTGTATAACTACTATATATAAATATATAAATATATATAATAACAAACGCGTGTATAATCCTAACTTGGTAGCGATGACGTGGGTAATCTCATGCGGTAACTGTGAGCGTGTAAGTACAAAAAGCTCATATTACCTCGTGGGGTTTCCCACTCGTTACCACGATTCGTCAAAATTAACGAAAACTTTTGATCAGTCAAAAAATTATTTTTCCTTAATATCAATTCAAATAATCGATCATTTCTCTTCGGCTGTAATATAACTCGATAGCATACATATACATATATATATATTTTCTTGTAAAAATATGTTTTTACGTACAATTTATAATCTGTGTAAATTTTGACATTTTTTATACATATACAATATAGAATTGCAATATATAATATTGTGTGTGTGCGTGCGCATTGTCTTGGAAATATATTCTGTTTGAACGTACTCTGCTATACGTAATTGGAGTACAAATAATGATTGAAACGCTTCTTTAATTCTAGTGGCATGCGCGCGACTTTAGTTTCGTAGAACGGCATGATAAACGAAGAATGCAGCATGAGTAATTAAGGCGCAGGCGAGAGTATTGCATCAGGTACTGGTGTGATGTCGAGGCAACCAGTACTTGTGTTATACTTACGCTCGTGTCTTTTCAAACTACCAATTCATCAACGATGGATCGCGCATGATGTACATACAACTCATATTAATTTTGCATAAACGATGCTTCGATAAGCATCGTACATATAAACACATACACTCACACATACCTACATTTTTATGAAAATTCATTCTACTCCATATAAAGATTTTTCAAAAATGAAAAAGAGTATATATATATAATCTTCTACATATATATATGCGAATGGATTTGATTACTATAAATTCTTTCCTTTTTTTTTATTTTTCTCTCGGAATAAAAATAAAAACAATTATTGTATATTAATGTCGACAATATATATTATATTCGTTTCTAGTTGCACGATTGACCACATCGCTAAATTGTGCCGAGCAAAGAGTAAAAGAGACCATGGAGCACGATGAGGAAAAAATTGACAAGTGAGTAAATAAAATCTATTTCTAAATAAATGAACAAGCATAAATAACTTTATGAGTATAATTTTTTTTTCTTACAGAATTCTTATTAAAAATCTTCTCTTGGGTTATTTATCCTCGACTACATCGGACAAATCTGCGATACTCAGGGTCTTTGCCAATGTTTTGAATTTCACCGATTCAGAAAAGGAAAAAACTGGTTCGAACATCGCGACGACGCAGAGTGGTAGTACGCTTTCAAAGGTATAGAGATTAATTTACTATAATATCGATTAATTTATCAGTATCGCTTGAATCTTATAATTGGACAGTTCAAACAATTGCAGTTTCGTCATGATACATATTTTACATATTTTGCAGTACCAAGAAGCGTCTTTATCGACAGCTTTTGTGAGATTTCTAGAAAGTGAATCTAAACCGAAGCCTCAGCTACCACCTTTGCCAATTGTGAATTCAGTGAGTAACAACAATATGCTGTGACGAGATTCTTCTCATGTAAAAACATTCTCATTATGCGTTTTAATTGCAGTCTTCGTCGCGGTCAGGATATAACAAACAACAGTCTTCATCATCGGCACAATCCACATTGTTATTGCCCAACGTTGCTCTTCCAACATTTCCAGACTTTATTCCGGCCAGAAATACGGGATCTATTTTGAAGGAAGTATTAAAGGACAGTTGATATTAAACGCATTATATTAAAAAAAAAATTGTACAAATAATATTAGAAATTATAATATATTGGATTGCATTTTATACCGCAATATTGTATCGCCTGACTGCATTCCACTCGAATCATCTTTTGCACATTATCCGATTTTTGTATAACCAACTGCGTGCTCAATACATATATATGTATATATTGTGTACATTTTGTGTGTATTTGCGTGTGTTGGATAGAGAAAAAGATATTTTGTTCGCTTGAAGAACTAGAGTTTTAATGTAGCTATATAAAGTTACAATGAACAAAAAAGTATATTATACCGTTGCTTTCTTTTCGATAGCAAAATAACAAGATTCTCTATTTATAACGCAATGACACAACGTCGTACTACAAGTAATAAATACATAGTAAAGTTTCATTGTATACAACTAACGCGCGTACTGGGGGCATAAATATAAAATTAAATCATGTATATTCGAACAGAATTAGTGTACAAAATATAAATCTATTTAACGATTTCATACACTATTATTATTTTGCGAAATATATGTACATAGACTTTCTGGCACTCTCTTCATTCGATCGTATCAAAATGGGGTAGCATCTTATAAAAATTTGGATATATTTTTTCATTAATAACTGTAACTATAAATTTTTCAATACTTATCACAACAAATGCAAAATTGCCATTACTAATTAATGTTTTATCATATATGAACAGATATATATATATATAAATCTATTTATTTGTTTAATTATATATTTAGTTGAGTCCAGAAAACTGTTAACAAACAAAGTTTTCATTCATCGGAGAATTTAGAAATTTATAATTCATTTTGAAGAAATTGTTTGAGAAAAATTTTAATAAATATTGACTTCCATAATTATTTGTTGCAAAATATTACTATAAAGAAGAAAGCGATAATTGGAGATTTTGTAAGCACTCATGGTTTTTGAATTTTAGTAATTGTTAAATGAAAGAGATTTTAATTTCTATTCGCGCGGTCAATATTAGTGGATCGTGCCTTTATAAAACTTGTAAATAACGAGATTCTAAGTAGCTGTTCGGGTCTGGTATATTGTAAATATAAATGTCTTCAAATTACTTTAAAGAAATACAGATTAACGTGATAGATTTATCCAACGAAAAATTAATTTTTATACCAATATAAATCATGTAAATGCGTTAGATTGCGTCGATTTGCATTACGCGCATTATGAAACTTTTTTATAAACACATTTATCGAATATCGAAACGACACGTCTGTTAAGCTTGCTGGTAATTTACCCATAACTTTATGCGTGACTCGTAATTGCCAATTATAGCTTCAAACGGCAAATATAATTGTTGAAATATTACATTTAAATCTCGGCCAAGGACGATGCAAAAAATTACCGTTTAAAACCAAAAATTGACGTATACACGCTTGCGGGCGCGCACACACATTTTAAAACAAATACTGCATATAAAAAAAATATTTAAAATCAAATAATGTCCAGACAAGTTTTCAGTGGGTCTAATTTTTGCCAAAATCAATGTACGTTACGATAGCTTATAACACACGCAGTAAAATACAACAAGTAAATGCACAATGCATGTAAATATTTTGCACATGTCTTTTACGTATAATCCAGACCCAATCAACCATTTGAATTTTAGTTTCATATATGCGAGCAACGATTTCAATGGTTTATCTATTATTAATTTTAACGAGATTGAATAAACGCACTCTGTAAACATAATATTTCTGTAGCAAAAATTCGCATGACAAATATAACAATAGGAAACGTTTTCACATTTAAGCGTAATCCTGTTTTTGTGCGTTTTCTTACCATTTTTAAGACTTATCACACGTTTCGTTAAACACTAACGAGATTCATCAATTGATATACCCTGGAGCAGGTATAAATTTTGAATGATTCATATCTAGAAACGATACACTGTATCGATACATTGTACATAATATCGCATCGTAACGTTATTGCATAACTATAGTCCATATGCAATGGAAGCATTCATTTTTGAAAGGCAAGAGTATCTGTTGCTTACTTACTAGTGTATACTAATCTCATCGTAAATTGCAACGCGATATATATTTTTAATTTGTTTACTTAATAAAGTCAACCTTTGCTAGAAAAGTTGTTTGTTTAAAAGATAACGCGTAAGTAAACAGCTCCTATAAAACAATATCAATTATGTATACGAGAAACGTTTAATATTTAAATATTCGAATTAGACATTGGTTTCTTTTAGCATTCTCGATTCTTCTAAGAAGATAATATATAATTCGCGTATAGCAATTTGTATATTAATTGTAATGTCATTATATATATATGTATATAGTCGAAGATACAGATACTCGGTTGCCACGATTCTAATTAAATCATGTCATGGGCCTGACAGTCCTAAATACAACTCATTAGAATAATCTTATCTAAAGCATTCTTTTGGTCCTATTTTCTGATACTACGATGCACATAGATATCAGTGTCAAAGTTTTACTTCTGTGATACAATAATTGATGTATAACGATAAGTCTAAGGCGAACAAATATCACAATTTCATCTCCCATAAGACTATATGTGCGTCATTACTGTTGGGATCTTTCAACGCATAGGTCGATTTCGAACTTTTGTCAATATAGGATTGCGCGTGTAATTGTCTCCAATTGACGTAACCGCGTCCACCCATTAGCGTCAACACCGTTCTTTTAGGTTGTTCAATTTGTTGCGCTTTGCCATTTTTCTTACCATTTATCTTGAGATTGCTCGGGGATGTTGGTTCCAATGCGGATTGCATTGCGCTATTGTTGGTTGCAGAAAGGTCGTAAGGACCGTTACGACTAGCTATACTACTATTACGCGATAATTTTCCAGTTTTTAGAGATAAATTTTCCTCCGAAGACGTGTACAAGGAGCTTGCGTGAGAATCTACCGACCAGTTGGAAAGATCCAGAGATCTAGGCCTAGTTATTTTCATTTTCAATCTACGATCCAAAGTGCTTACTTTATTTGGTATGGCTGCCAATTCTGGGTCGCTTCTTCTCAATGTTTCGTAAATAGGATCTATACCCGAATTGTTCTCATTTTCGTAATCCTTCACGTACATCAGTTCGCCGTAAAGCCCGTAAACGTCACAATTCTCACCGGAACTCTGCGAACTAGAGATAGAGCTCGATAAAAATCCACAACCAGATCCTAATCCCTTCGGAAGTGTCTTCGAGCCTCTGCATTCGTATTCCTTGCTTCGCTTTCTTCTCAACATTACCGGGCTTCCCGTCAACTGTTGCTTCAGTTTCGCGAGATTATTCGACGCAGTCGAATCTAAACTCGTTCTATCTCGCGATTTCTGTTCGACATCTTTCGTTCGTAATGGTACACTTTCGTCATCATTGACGCGAGCATTCTTCGAGGCAGAATACATTGTGCCTTTCGTGTTGTGTACCGCCAATAAGAAAGTAATCGGACCAAAATGAGCGTGGTACGAAATATTGACGCGACCACTGATGATTGGCACTCCCTCCAGACGCGGTAACGGAATAGTCAAGCTAATACCTACATTAGTGCCTACCCATAAGAGACCTTTGCACGCTAAAAGCGCCGTGACCGTAACCGCAGTTTGACTATTGACAGCGAGAGGGGAACCACCGCACGTGTTGAGAGGATTATTCATTTTTGTCACGCGCAATACGTTGGACGCTATATTAATGTCCTGCAAATGTTTAAACGTTTCTGTGTGATAGAGACAAACCGTACTCGAATTTTTAAGGGCAACCCAAAGACCGACCCCAGAATGGGCCATAAGTCTCACATTTCCGACGTGTTCGTGTTGCGCGCTAAAGCTCTTGGTGACGTCTCCCGAAGTGGCGTTAAGTACCCAAACCTTTTTGCCACACGCGGCATAAACCGACGTATTAATCGGCATTAGGCACGAAACAGGATCGTTACCGAGCGATATAACGAAGGGATCTTTGAGGGACCACGTGCCATCGACTTGTCGTTTAAACAAAAGTAACAAGCCCATACCCAAAGCTACGAAAACATTGTCGCAATGATATTTGATTTCTATTACAGGTCCCGAAACGGGATAACTGCCGATCTCTTCCTCTTTTTCAGGTTCTGTCGCGGCATAAATTATAATTTTCCGAGAATCCGTACCCATCCATACGAGATCACTGGCGAGCGTGGTAAAATCGTTGGAATTGGAGACCCCTTTTACAAACTCGATAGCGCTTACTCTAGTTTCGACCAGATCGAACGTAGTTATGCGTTTCAAACTAGTCGCCGAGGCTGTTGTCGACTGACCAAAAACTGTTACATGACTGGATATGCCGTCTCCTGTACATATCCACAAATAATTTTGACTCCTACCGCGTCGCCTTGTGGAACGTGAATTTTCAATAGAATAATAACAACCGCAACGTACCTGCAATTAAAACATATTGCGATATTGCGTGTATAATAATATGAACGCTTATTGTTGTACATTGCATTTAAATGTCAAACATATAGAAATATATACATACATTTGATACTTTCGAACTAACTTACTTCAGTCTGATGTTGCGAGCGATATACGGCTTGCGAACTAACAAAAAGTGGCATTTTCGTAGATGGCCTTTGCTCTTGTTCAGGTACTTCCCACGATGGAGAATTGTTAGGATCCAAAGCTAATTGCGCCAATCTAAGTTCGGTTATCCAATCCTTTTTCACCAGCGGATTTTCCGTTTGAAATGTGTACATCTGACCTTGCTTTGTGACTAGTTGGAGACAACAGCTATCGGCCCACACCATATCCTCGTCTTTCTGTTGTATCGACATTTGTATCGATTGCAGAATTTGCTTGGTAGTCTGAAGTGTCATTCCCTTTAAATTCAAACAAGAAATAACAATCCAATTAATTGGTTTACAAACCAATCATCGAATTTCTATTAAGAGTATGACTTGTGTGCACGTATATACATATGCGTGTGTGTTTCAAATAAAATATATAAAAGACATATAACGGCAAATTTTGTCCTTACCTCGTATCTACCCTTCAATTGGACTACTAAATCACTTATTCTAGACATGACTTCGTAATCGTGCATAAGATCGTTCATTTCTACACAGAGATTATCCGCGTCAGTTGCTTGTCCACATTCACCACCGCTTTTGTCAGATTTTAAACTGCCGCCCTTATTCAAACCAGCGGTGAGTAATCGACTTAAAGTCGGAGAAGTGCTAGTATCTTGAATCTAAAACAAAATCGTCATTAGTAATTCTATCAATTTCGCATGCATATTTTCAAGAGAAATGTTTTCATTCTATAAATTGATTTTGTAAGAATAATTAACAAGATTCTGTACTATGTGCAATGTAGTAATTGCAATATGTAATGTAAAATATATTATACGTACTTCGATATCCGATACCGGATACGTCCATTTCAACGTTAATCGTTCGTTGCCAGAAAAGTCTTCCGTCGATCTCGGAGTAACGGAAACACATACTACTAAATCATTTAGTAATAGTAACCTTCTTCTTTTGGATTTCGTTATCATGCCGTTTTGATTGAATTCCTAATAAACAAATTGCATACGTTATACTTATTTCCTCGATTCGTTACTATTGTTGATACATATTATATATATATATATATATATATATATATATATATATATATATATATATAAAATAGTATTGTGTTTTGAATACTCGATGTAATATGATGAATCTTACCAATTGCGTGACATTATCTTCTCTAATAAGATAACGCGATGACGAAGAAAGCGGACGATGCGATAGTTTTCCGGAAACATGCCGCAACATTTCTTTAAACGCTTGGAATTGTTCCGCTTCTCGTTTTCTCTCGTTTAGCATTTCGGCCAAACTCTCGAGTTGCGTTAATGCCAACTGTAGAGACATTCTATCATGGTGTCCTTGTGGTGTATGCTTTAATAAATCCTAAACATACAAGACGCAAGCTTATTACTACTAGACGACGCTGAGAAAGTAATTTTTCGCATCTCATTAATAACAACTCACTTGCAAAAATAATATAAATTGTGGAAACCTTTGTACAGGCTTGACCATTAAACCAAAGAAGGATAATCTATCGTGGGCACTTATTTGTTTCACCTACAAAGAAAAGAAAAAATAAATACATGTATGTACACATCTATAAATAAATCAACGATTGTGAAATTAAAATTTGTGACAAAATCAAAATTGTAAATCAAAATGGTACCTTAAAAAAGTCTGCGAGTGCAGTCTTTCTCTTCGATTCTTGTTTAGCTAAATCCATTGCCACAGAAAAGTTGTTTATAAAACCGCTGTAAATGTCAAGAACAATGGCTTTGCTGAAACTCGCGACGAATACATCTCCCAGCTTTTCGTCTTTGTCCCAGGATCGTACGCATTCCGCTAGAGCAATTCTAAATAACGTGTGACATTGCAAAATTTCGGGCAGTCTATGAAACAATGTCGCTATCTTGGACTGACTCAGTATAGGTGGTGAAGATTCCTCCAATGGTTTTTTATAGTCCTACAAATGAAAATGGAGTAATTTTTGTATGAAAGAAAATTGCTCGCGCAGCTCTTCCTTTACGCTTAGGATGAAATTGTTCTCGGTATGTACGTACATTTACTAATCTCTGCAAAGTAGACACATAACTGTTTTCGGAATGTACTATCGCGGCCACGATATGTCGACGTTTCAATTGTTGGGGAGACAAGTTTGGAGGTGGTGGAGGAAGCGTAGGTGGAGCTTGTCTTCGTTGCTGCACGCACTGGAACTGTATCATTGCGCTAGTCTCTTCGTCGACCTAGAATATAGTGATTATCCGATAAGTACTCGAATAAATTAATCGCGCGTGCGCGATTAATTGAAATCGAAATTACAGAAAAACGCAACTCGCTTACTTCGCAAAGCTGTGGCATTTGCGGTGTTTTGACAGGACTAGTTAAAGATACGGTATCCGAGGAATCTACATCGTAATGATGCGTCGACCCTCTGCGAATGCTGAACCATCTCGAGAGACGTCCGTGATTCCCCGGAGATTCCAAAATATCCGCACTGTTTGCCGGTATATTCTGAAATCGCCACCTGTGTGGGTCGCAAAGCGTGCGCGCCTTTTGCAACGTATTTCTCAATTGGCAATTACTTCTGCAAGGAGCAAGTGACAAATTTTCATCACGGACGTAACACTTGATCGAGTTATAATAACGAGATTTGACAACTTACTTAATACTGATATTACTCTTTTCGCTTTCATCATCGGAAGAGATATCGTGATCCGATGCCGAACACCAAGAGTCCTCGCTTCTGGCGGATTGCGTGGACGTGTTGGACCTGCTTGTCTCTAGAGAGGGATGACGCGCATTTCCACTGACAGTTTCCATTTTGCCGGGTCCTACGTCATCCCACGATTTGCACCTTGAACGAGGTTCGTCTGAAAGAGAACCGATAAAAACTTGAATACTAATTACATTCGCAATTGAGAGGAAAGATCAACAAGACACTTGGCATATCTAGCTCAACTCGATAGATGGAAGAGAAAAAGTCTCTTTTTATGCGTAGTTTGCACATGCAGTTTCGTTACCATCTATCTATCTATAATAAAACTTGTAACAAGTAGTACTCGCGCGCGTCATCGGACCAACTATAGATAGTTTGCTATGATGCGTCACCTCTTTCAGGACGGATGATGCTTTTCGACGTATTTTGTTCTCTCAATCACGGGATTGCGATATACGATATGAAGAGGGAGAACGATTCAAGGATCGCCGAGTAAAATATAGTCTACGACAAAATTTTCACGGACGTGTATACGAGAGATCGAGTCGGTCGCCTTGCTATTCATCGTCTGTTTGATTGGGCCTTCCGCTGTGTTGCGCGTTGCGCGCTCGTGTTACCAACGTGTTAACGTCGCGATAATCATCTGGTTAATGCGACGCACTTTATACATTCCCACGTTCTCGTCGCGTACGTATAAAAATGCATCAACTGTAAGAGCGTTTTGCGATAATACTTAAAACTTTGACGAGACATCGACGAGTACCAACGCGCATTCCGCGTCGTATCAACGCGGACGCAATCTGAAATTGGATCCCTATGTCAACCTTTTATCTCGAAGAAACAAAGGAATATAGACATAGACGTATGCATGTATGCGTAGCGCTAGCTAATCATCGGATATTATATATTATATATTACGTAAGGTCGATTTTTAACCCGCTATCGCGCCATAGTTCTGTGAACCAAAACCATATAGGTCATAACAGTATAATCACGATGGATATCACATTTTTCTCGTCTTATTTCGCTGCTTGGAAATAAAAAATGTTATACAATATGATTCGATGGCACACATAAGCACACACGCGCATTGGCGGTTTGAATCCTCACATGTCACCATACGATCATACACGAAAACTGATACGCCTACTCGTTGATTATCCAATACTTTCACATGGAAAAATACGGCTCATTCGACTCGACGGTATATGTGGCTTCGCTCGACCCACGCATCATCGCGTTACGTATTTGCGCGTGTAAACGCTTCGGTAGGCACGCGTGTGCGTACACGTACCGAGTATACTTACACGCAGGCACCCAGATCCAAGGTGGTTCCAAACAGGTACGAAAGCAAGCGCAGTGCCGTTGACGAAATGCCGCGCGACGTAACAACAACAACAATAATAATAATAATGCATAGTAGGCAGGAACGACGTGAATTAACGGGCGTAACAACGCTGCCGCGCACCGATACTATTTCTCCGGAAATAACGAGAGGAGAGCCGCGCGTATATCTATCAACCTGCTCGCGTGCAACAGAGGCGGATGACGAATGACTCCCTCCCTATGTGCTCGTTTCTAAGCGTGCGTAGATATATAATACGTATATATAGCCGGTTCAAAACCTCACATGTGCACACATTTCAACAATAAGAGAATTTTCTTTATTGTTGGAATTTACCCTGAAAATCACATGGTAATCGTGGGATAATATACATATATGGCATTGAAAGAATTTTATCAGATTCATATAAGACAATAATAATAATACTCCTGGCTCCTTGCCGACCATGTTACAATTGTGCGTGAAAAATTCTTAGATGCCATTTCGAAATAAAAAGATATTTCGATGAAACAGCACTTTGCATGGCTTTAACGCACTCTTAAAATACCTGAAAATTATGTATGTGGTAGATATTGATATTTTTTATTATGACAAATATTAATCGGAAAAATTCTTGCAATAGTATATTGTCCCGCACGATTAGTATGATTTTCAGGGTAAATTCTAAGAGAAAATTCTCTCCGTATAACTCCGTGCATATTCACATATTGTCTGTCTTTTGATTCCAATGCTCCGAAATTGGTGCATTTCACATTTCATTTGTATTACTTTATACAATTTTCAAGGAATATTTAATTTTTCGTTAAAAATGATTAGTTTTTCTCGATACCAAGGAATTAATTAAAAAAATCTCAATTCGAGATTTTTATATTAATAAAACCCACTTATAATCTCTTGAATTTAACATCCTCTCATCTGTATCTAGTTCTTTCTAGCGTTCCCTTCTCTTGAAATTTAATTTGTATTTAATTTACTAAAATTCTTAATTATTTCACGTTCTGCTTTTTCTATTTGTTCCATTTCTCATTCATATATACGATTCAAGTCGCCAAACGCGAGTAAGGAGTAGAGAAAAGAAGTTAATTTATAAAGCAGCGTTTTGCGATCATAATCGTAGGAAAGTATGCAAATGACGCGATTAGTCTACGCGCGCAAGCATCTCGCGAATTTATGCTCGAGATATTCGCCAATTTCCTTTCACTATTTCAGCAGTTTATTTACAGTGGCTATGAATATGGAGCGAGTGGTACGGCTTTGAACAACGCGAAACGCTGCAAAGTCCACGTAGCGTTTCAATCAATATGTATTTTTGCGATAAAAGCACGCCTACGGCTAGCAGGTTCTTCGGACATTCGACAACACAAACCTATTTATTTAGACAGATTTATACCGCACGTATAAGTAAATATATTCTAGATCGAATTACAAATTATCTTCTCTCCGTTTGCATTGATTTCTTTATAAAAATGCTTCGTCTTACGTACCCTACATATAGACATTATTTTAGATATTTATTGTTGAAATAAAGAGGCACGAAAAAAGCGCGGCATCTTTCCTGCTTTTAGCGTTACCAGATTTCGCGATGTTTCTCATATTCATCAGTCTCGCATTCGGCAGCATTCAGCAACATTCAGCGACATTCAACAGAGTGTGCGCGAGTAACGCAGCAATTTTCCATGCCGCGAATGCACATACGGGTCAGAGAGCGCTCATGATATAACAACAAAATCTAACTTTTTTTTTCTATTAGTGGATTATGTTACAGAGCTCCCTATCTATATCATAATCCATTAATATATCGTTTGATAAAGCTAGATTTGATAAAGATAAAAATGGTTCAAAGTGGCCCTTTAAATTTGATAAATCGATAATAATTTTGTCTGTCGTACAAAATGAAAAAACGATTATCGATGTAATCTAAACAGTGGACAGAATTCACAAGACTAATGCACGGATGAAACGTTAGATTTTTCAATCGAAGCGGGCGTTTCGTACGCAATGATAACTGACATTACCAGACTACAATAGTTAACTATTATGCAAGGTATTGTAGTTTATTACACACCGCAATAGTTTTGCGCAAACTCGATCATCGAACTTGTATTCAAGGTGTAAACAAATAAGTGCATTACGTCACTGTTGAGTTTAAATGTACGAATTAAAATCAATAGATCTTATTTCCGAATGTAATCTTTCGATTCATGATTCCATAGTTCTGGGAAAAGCAAACAAACACACGTGATGTTTGTCATCTCATTTTTGTTTTGCACGCGGCAAAACTGAAATCTTTGATCGACATGTCGGCATAATTTAACCGTTGTACCACCATTTCAATGTTAATGGACACGCGGGTTCTGTCTTCTTTCTCCCTCTCTCAACATAGAAAATACTTCCTCACAGTTACACGATAAAGCAAGATAATACATGTCAAGGAATATCATATGGATAAACACACATTTCGGGCCGTATCGATGAATATTTAATGGGAAATGAAGAGAATCCCATATAAACAAACACGCACAAGAAAGAAGGAAATGCATTTGGAGTAATCCCTACGTACACTTGATGAGGACAACTCCATTATGCAGTTCCTCCATCTCGCGGAGGCTGATGTTCCTTGCGATGATTTACTCGTGCAACTTTCCTTCTCTCTGTCACTCCATCAGATCAGCAAGTTAACGTATTCGCAGAACACAATGACGCAAACGCAAACACAAACACGCGAACTCATAGGGCGCTGTATGGCGCGCGCACCCGCTCGCACATTACACGCGTTGCGTGAACACACATAGATCTCGATCGCGCGATTCTTTACGAATCATCTCGGGCACGTGCGCCGGCCGCGATTAATAATACAGCGCCGCGGCATACAGCGATAACGAAGACGCGCCTCGCCGCGTTTCGCAATCAAGAGGCACCCGAGCAAACGGACCGAATCAACATGGCCGCGCTCCGTGTTTCTGTCTGTTCCGTTCTGTTCCGCCCCGACCCTCCTTGCTCCGGCTCGCTCTGCTCTGCGTGCACTGACGCGAACGCGAGCCGAGGAGAGATTGGAGAAAGAAGAGGCGAAGGGCACGCGATAGGAAAATGGAGAGACCGAAGGGTGCGCGAAGGGGAGGAGGAAGGAACTCGAGAGCGAGCCAAGAATGCGTGGCTACCAAACGAGAGAGAAAGTAGGTATACACGTACGGGAGCGATCGAGAGTGAAACACATGACGCGCCTCGCTCGCGCAGCTGTGGCTGGGCCTGTGCGTATACTCGAGAGAAAAAGATGGAGCGAAATGTAGAGGTAGATGGACGAGACCAGACGGCGAATGAATATAAAAGAGAGGAAGAGGCGCGGTGCGGAAAGGACAAAGACCAGACCTCTCTCTTTCTCTAGCTAGAGGAAGATAATCTCGCTTCGAAAGACCAACAGGTGATGCGATGTGATATGTACAGGAACATGTGTATGTTCGGAGAGATAAAGAGAGATCTGTGCCAAGGAAGATGTATTACGCGCGCGCATATATTATAAAGAGTATTGTTGTATTAATTACCATTGACGTTTCATTGCAAAGATTTATTTCTCGCTGTAATTTACTCGAGTCTAGAATCTCGATCAAATGTTATACGTTTGAAATTTAAATGTACAAATGCGACTCAATCGGTACATGTCTCAACTACGAGAGCATCGATTCTAGCTCGTCGCTGTATCGCGTAGACGGCGCCACCGTCTGCAATTGTAATTATAAATGCGTGTTAATTCATATAAGTGCTTGCATACTCGAATCAATCTGTGAACTTAGAAATCCTTTGGAACATTTCTCGATATCTTATATCGTACCTATATACGACATATTTGTAAATTAATACTCCAAAGTTATTTCACGGCAAATATATCGAGCAATACTTCGTCAACTCCTTTATAATCTTCTTTAATTTAGCAAGTAAGGAAACATTTCTTTTTCTTTCTAAGGAACCGTTCATTGAACCGTGTTGTACTAAAAAATAAAAGGTATATATATATATATTAGAATGAGTACAAGAGCGTGAGAGATTTATATGACATAAATGAAAGAAAAGAGAGAGGAAAAGAAAGGAGGGGACACTTCACGTGATCTCGCATCTGCTTCTCCATCGAGTGACCACAGCTGACCTCTTCCAAGTACCAATAATTAACTTTATTCGCCAAATGCACGCGAGTGCATGAAACGAATATGAACACTCGCGAGTTATACTGCGCGAACAATGTGTTTTTATAAAAAGAACCACTATGCATACGCGATAAAACACTCTAAAATAAAAATATACGGAAAATAATTTTGAATCTATTTTTCAAAAATTGTATCATTATTTTTTATCTTGGAGAAAACGTGTAAAATACATATGTGAATCTTTTTCTCTTAAATCATCGCCCCTTCATTTATTTCTGAGAAACACATTGTCAGGGAAAATACGTTGTTCGCATTCTTGATGCGCGACAGACTACGCATCAAGAATTTGTAACGAATCGTTCATACTCGAATTCATAGTCGTGCGTAATCCGAAAACTACCGGGCATGATAATCACATTTACGAAACGACGAAACGCGACAACAATCACGACCGATGATTTGGATAATCCACGTATTTATGTATATATTTACGATGTTATAAACCAAAACAATCGATTAGACTCACCAATGATCTTGCTGTTGCTGCTACTGTTTCCAAAGGAATGCAGTTTTTTCCAACCTTTCCAGCCTTTTTTCCAAATCATGGCAGCTTTCGTTTTGCGTGGAATACCAATTAGTTCCATGCCGCTCGTTTTCCCCATTCCTCTTCTTAAAGATCCCAAGCCTGACCTGCGTGTCAAAAATAAACTGTATACGAGAAGTTTAAATGATATAAAGCTTGTGGGAAAAATTAGGCATTGTTTCAAAATATAGCGTTTTTGTACAATCCAACAAATGATATTGAAGCAAGTAAATGTACAACGATCGTAATATAACTTTTCAACACACCTGTAACTCGCGCTAGAGCTCCCACTGAAACCACTGTCCATGTCACATCCGCGCGAGAGCACATCATCAGCGTAACTAGTCGAAGGCAGCAGTTCATCGGTGGAAGTTTCATGAACTTCCTGCGCTATTTGTTCCTCGTTATTGTCAACCACAGGTGGCATCAACATTGCCTCTACGCTTAAGTTAAGTTCCCCGAGCACACGTCGATGTCGCGATTGTACGCGACGTACCTCTTCTGCCACAAGTGACCTTCGCGATCCGTGCAACGCGCGATGACATTGCTTGCTGAAACATTTATTAGCGAGTACAATTTTAGTTTAATTTATTTCTCAATTTCATTCGCGATCCGATTATATTTCATTCTTATATCAATATAACTCCATCAGTCGTACCGTATTATCCGTATAAATTCAATTCATATCGATTTAAACGTGTTCTCGAGAAGAAATAGTTACCAGAAATCAGGGAGCTATCTTGCGTAGTCTACTTCGCGACAACATATGAAACAAATTATGTATTTAGCGACTGTTCTCAATTGGAACGCGCGTATAACTTATCTCGCGTTTCAACGACTTATGCGCCAGTCAAAGACACTGGATAAATACATAATCTATATAACTTATTTTCTTATTGTTCTCGCAAGTTAATCGCTATCTCCGGCATCCGCTGGGGGATACATTGGATCAGGGGAGAGTGCGAATTGTATTATTCGCATACATGTCACTCGCTTACATTTGCGAGATTTACTTTACCATTATTTATCAATTTTACTCAATGAACATACGTTAGCCAATATATTTTTCAAACAAGTGTAATTTATGTTTCCTTTATTATAAAGTTTCTAATTTTCAAATATAGATACGGAATATCGCGTTGACAATATCGCTTGTAATATGTCGAACAAGTATTGAACTCTGTTAAAGTAATAAAGTTCTGAAGTTAATAATCCATTTATATGGCTGAGATATCTCGGTAATATTTACCTGATTTCCGATATCTCTTCGTAAATATTTTCTTCCGTTCCATAGCAAGTTGTGTAAGTGTGTCTCTTCAAAGGGTCGGATCTCACTGGCTGCAACTGTTGTAGCTGCTGCTGCTGTTGCTCCTGCTGTTGTTGCTGCAAGAGCGCTTGTGTCGGATATGCGACATGAAAATGATTCGAATCAGACTGGTAGTACGTATACGAATAATCCAGAAGCGGATGTTGTTGAGAAGTCGTGATGGGTGACACTGGTGATACCGGTTCCATTAAAGCGTTGCGCGATATCTGTGAAAAAAAAAGCATCGTGCGAGATATAAAAATAACGTTTTTACACTGCTTACGGTAAAGACTATTACAATGTTTAAAAATATGTGAAAATAAAAATAGTGCAAAATTGTTGCCAACTTGTATATATATATATTACATATGAGATTTCTTTGATTGTACTCTATCCAATCTTTTTTTTTGTTACGCGCAATTAATGCCGTACGTATTATTAGTAAAATTAATATGTATATAATGTGTTTCCATCCCGTTGAAACTTTTTACCTGATTGTGCGGCGGTGGATAAGGTGGAGGTGGGGGAAATTCCAGGTTGACTATTCGCGGCGACGAGACGCCCGACGTCATTCCTGACCCCCCTAAAGACGAAGCCATGGCACATCGTTCGAGGAACTTTGATTAACGAAATCTCGCGGTTCTTTTATTGCTGTTCCATCCGGCTTTTTCGTTCTCTATCGCAAGAAAAATAAATATCACATAAGTAATAACACATTGCTGCTCACCCACATACACACACACGCATGTTTACACATTCGAAACAACGCGTTACATGTTACATGTGCTCTAGAAAACAATAGAGACGTTGTTCCTAGTTGTTCCTTTGTTAAAGATTATACGACGTGGTATTTAAACTCGCTTTGAATACGAAGCATTACGAAATTCTTTCGTGAAAACGAGAGCGGAAGTGTTTTACGTTTATCATTCTGTGATGTCGAAAAATATGTAATCGGAAGGAAGCTAAATCTACACACCACATGCATTGTATATGGTACAAATGATAGATAAGTGCAGGTGTAGGCGCGTTCTAAACATTTCTTCGAATTTTGTTAATTATGCACATCATTTTATATATATATATAAATTTGTTACTTATCCAACATTAAATCGTTATCCGTAACTTGTATAAAATATATTCCCGAGGATATCAATATACTATAAATTAAGCAGTAGATTTTATTATATACTCAATTTGTGATTATATTAAAAATGTATACATATACTTTTGTGTAATATTTTCTGAATTTCATATTACGATAAAAAAATTGCGAAAGAAAAGAGAGATATATATTTGCAGTTAAATAATAAATAAACTGAAAGCTAGCGAAATTTAATTGAACGTGAAAAAGACGAAACAATATTTACATGTTATTAACGTTTTGATTATTCGCAACAGTGAAAATTGAGAGATTTATTAATTATAAAAATGAAAAGTGTATATATATATATATATATATATATATATATGTGTATTTTGTATTTAACTCTTTTATTATAAACTAATCTTTTGCTATTTGAGCAAATAATGTTGCGACGGTTGCAAAATAAATAATTTAAGAATTTGGAATCGAGATGTGTCATGTGAGACGTATACATATATGTATATTTCGTCTACGCGAGTGTGCACGTGTCGAGTGTGTGTACAACAGTTCGTAATGTTCTTTACTTTTTTCAACAAATATATATTATAATCAAGAGAAATTAATAAAAAAAAAAAAAAAAATAATAAATTTTTACTTGTACATCTTGTTGAATATCGTCCATTATTCTTGTCCATTTAATGAACAATAATTATATTAATCATAGAGATGTAGAAGAGAGAAACGAATAAGAGAAATCATCCAAGTACGCTAAATGTATTAATATCACACACATACATCTCCGCACACAACACACACACACACACACGTGACGCACGCACATTCTTCACGTTCATAAACAATAAAGAAAGTTGTAATCTTCTTCAACACTTAATTAAATCTTGGATAATAATAAATCTGTCTGAGAAAAATAAAAAAAATGGTACGATAAATAGTGGAAAATAATATCGCATAAAATGACATTTCGATGTAATGATAATGAAATAACGTGCGTATATATACCTGGCAGAAGCGAGACGAACAAGCACGAACACGAACGCGCGACAGACAATCCAATCTCATTCCAATCTCACGCGTCCGAATATTTTCCGAGCGAGCTTTCTTACCCTTGGAATCGCGGAGAAAAGGAAGAGACGATCTGCTGGCCGATTACGCACAACGCGTCGAGTGGCACAAAGTGGCCCGTCTCGGGCCACACACGAATAGCATACGAGGCACACTAGAACGAATACGTTTGCGTCTCGTGCTTAGATAGTTTCGCGTTCGCGTTCGTTGTATGCGAGCGCGAGCAAGCACGCCCCCTTGCTTGAGAAGCCAGTCGACCGGTCGACCGAGAAAAGCCGCATCCAAGAGAGGAGAAAGAAGTGGGGGAGAGAAGGGACGAAAGATTGTACGAAGAAAAAGAAGAAGAGAGAGAGGAGAGGGAAGGAAAAGAAGCGTCGTCTCGAGAGCCCGCTCGGTCTTATTGCAATTCACGCGGCTAGATATCGTATCACTTTTCCTACTTTACGACACAGGTGTATCACGCAAGCACGTGTGTATCTCGACCGATCCATTGTGAAAATAAATATCTATTGGAATTTCGCTAGATCGCTCGGTCGATAATCGCCGCGCTTCTCTCTAGCGGAGGAAAACTCTACTAACGACGACGAATTATCTTTGGTCGGTAAGGACGGAACGACGTTTATCCACAATTTCACGTTAGCCGCATACATATATACATCTATGCGTGCGTGTTGCCTTCTCAAAAGTATAATATTCAAATCGGGCGATATCAATCGCTAAATGTGTATAAACGAAAACGATAAATTCTTATTTCTAAAACGTAAATATTCCAATTATCGCAAATATTCCTAATTATTGAAAATATTCTTATGACAAATAACAGGAATTAATATACACGTGTAATAATCGGATCGAAATAATTTTTTTCTCGCTTTTTACAGATATAGACACAAAGATAATTTTTGATAAACAGAGAGAACTTTTCTTCACGGATACAAATCTACACCGATAGTCAGAAAATTGTCAATCTGGCTTATTCAGGATTGGTGAGATTTTCCTTTGATTTACGCGTATCTTACTATTACTCATCGAATGGCTTTTCCCACAACGATACGATATGCGGGTAGAGAAAAGTGCGGATTAAGAAGAAGGTATTCGTGGGAATCTCTGCGTGGAATATCAATCGAATTCAGTGAGTCACCATCATGATCCCACAGGTGGTTTTATACCTATTCGCGGTTTTCGTGAATCATACCTCCGGTGACAAATTCCTGCACAATGACATTATTTTTCCATTCTTTTCTTTTCTTAAGGAAGTTTTAGGATTTGTATAGGATAAATATTACTATTTGTTTAATAGTAATAGTAATAACCGACACTTTTAATTAATAACTTGTTTTGGCACAGTACAGAATTGACTTTCATTCTCTATAAAATTCTTAAAGTGTGCGTCATACATTTCTCAACCTACTTTTTCGCAGAAATATATTTATGTTAACATTATTGCATTGTATGTAGAAAAATAGTAATACTAATTTTATATGAATTGAAGGGCATCTTAAAAAAAACCATGTCAAACAGACATTGTATTTGAATTCATGGATATAAATTTATCCTTTTTTTCTAACAATTTCACATTACAGACACTATGCGACATTACATCTTGTTATTTCAATTATTGCAATGAATTAACAGCATTGTACATATTTTGCAACTATACTACACTTTGATATAAAATAAATTCTTGTATACATATACGATGCTAGATCACAATGATCGCTTCTGATAATTCCATTTGTCACTCTTCCTTTTTGCAAACTTTATTAACGACAACTCTTTCATGCAATGTAACACTACGCACGGTTTTCTTTTCCAATCTTTCATTAGCTCAAATTTATAATAAAAGGAGATAAACTCAAATCATTCTTTTCCAATAAGCATTATAGAGATTATGTTGATAACTAAATTAAAACAGTATTGTTTTTAATACAGCTTTTTAATAAAGCTTGTCATAATAAGAGCATTCTGTTTATCAAATGATTAATATCAACTCGTCAAAAATCAATAACTTGCGTACGAGGATGACTTTAAATAATCATGACAATATAATAAATTGATAATAAACAAGAATACAATAATAGAGGGAAAACTCTGGATGGCGCTAAAAGAGTGTTATATAATAATGTATAAATAAAATGTATGAATATAATAATTATCATATATAATGCTGATGTGTTGTTAAAATAAGATTATTAGACGTTCACTTGTATACTATATGTACAAAATATTCGCATACGCGATATATTAATGTCAGCTGACTATAATGTATTCATCGTATCATAAGTAAGGCACGTATAACAAACAGTAGTCAATGTCTTTACATGAGAATGAGATATACACTATGTTAAATGGCAAAGTTAAATAACAAGTGAACCAGTAAACGTTACGATCGTATAACGTTGACAAATGATATCGCGATTTTGTCTCTCAAGTTTCAGTTGTACAAATTTCTCTGTTGGCTACTAGATTCAAATTATTATTCCGATGCTCTGACATTTGTCACATTTATAACGCCAAGTTATGTTACTTTGCTCGAGAGTATCTTATCGTTCCGTTTCGCTTTCGCGGCTGTGCTTTTAAAACCTATTCCGCTGTCCCCATTATGGCAAAATATTTGAAAAAATTCATTATTTTAGAATTAGGAGCTACTTGGAAAAATTTTGATCTCTAATATAAATAGAAATATTATTTATTAATTTTTTTACAGGGAATAAACGTTTCCCTATTTCACCACAAAAATAAATATATCAGTCTAGTGGTAGAATTAGATGCTATTTAAAAGCTTTATATCGATATTGAGTTTGAATTTTTGAGCTCGGTTTAAGAGCTCTTAAATAGTTTCTAATTTTACGACATCCGTTTTTTGTTATTTTGCCGTATAGTAATAGGGCCAATTGAATAAAGATCCTAAAAAAACTTATATCGTACAAAAATACATGTAGTAGATACAAAAGAAATAAGTATATGATAAATCTTTCGTGTATCAACGCATCGTTAAAAAATTGCTGTTTAAAAGTTATTACAGGTAGAGGACGGCTCCCGATCCAATAATGAGATGTTATTTTTAAATTGTACGCGATCAAAGAATCTACAGGGAAAAAAATTCTAGAATAGATAAATATACATTACATATATTACATTTTTTGCGTTTCAAATAATCAGCGCGTTAATTTTAATCAGCAATTATTAAAGATATGTCAAAAAATTAATCCATTTTTCCGGCTGAAAAGGATTATTCCTAATAATAAATACAATTTAATACAACTTAAATATATTACAAACATACAACAATGACTGTTATCGTTGACAAACGTTTTACTGCTCATCGATCGTAAAGTACATGTTTTTCCTTGTTTCACCGTGTTTCTTCTCGTCTCAAACGAGTATGCAACGCACAATATAAATATACACTCTTATCAGCGATAATTTAGATTTTACTTTACTAATTTATATAAACAATCGGCAAAGATAAACTCGATAAACAATAAGAAAAATGACATAGCAGAGTATAACAATCATAATAATGCCAATTATAAAGATACTAAAATTATAGTACAAGGTATAAGCAATAGCAGTAATAATACTATTAACAATAGAAATAATAATAATAATAATAATAATAATAATAATAATAATAATAATAATAATAATAATAATAATAATAATAATAAGTTGTAATTATTAGTAAATATTAGCAATTGCGTGATAACTGATGCCGCCATCGGAGGTTTTTCAGTCTTCTTTGGTTGTTGGGTAACTCTCGAAGAGAGATTAATGGGTAGGGTATTGCAATAACGTTGTGATGAAAAACTCGTTCCTATACGAATTTCCATCCCTCATTTTTGTATAACTCTTAACGTTTATCGTAATGTCTCCCTCTTTACGAAGAGACGGGCGCTCTCGTTCCACTTTACTCGTTGATGAGGATCAATTGATTAATAAGCGTTTGGCTGCGAGCGCTGGAGACTCCAGACTCTAGAGTCTAGAGTTTAGAGCAAACGACCGAGTGGACGGGCGTCGCAGATAAGAATAGTATCCGATATCGCGTCCTTTTTCTTCTTGCGCTAGCGTTTTCTTAACTTTCTGCGAAAAAGTACGAGTGTTATTTGTTGTCCAGGCGTTCGCTGATTTTACCACCGACAACAAATTTTGAGCAATGCGAATGCGCCATCATCGATCAATTATTCTTGTCTCGTCGAGCACTATACGAAATTCCGCAACGAGATTCGCGCGCCGGTTTTCGCCCAGTCGAATGCAAGAGTTATAAATATTCTCGACGGATTGAATTCGTTCGCCGATTTTTTCTCATTGTCACTCCTAAGCTCTCTGCTCATCTCGAGGATACAGATTTGTAGAATCCAGTTCTCACAACATATCTCTTAATATATATATATATATATATATATATATATATATATGCGCATGTATAAAAGTTGTTTGATTCCATTTTGCTTCGAAGGCTCTCGATCGCTCGTGATCCGCGCTTGATGAGTAGCGACAGCGGCACACGCGGTCGTAACGAACGAACGATCGACGACTGGTTTTATCATCAGCCGAATCCGACGATGATGGCACGACACATGGCAAGGTTCTTCATAGACCGGAGCAGATTTTTCGCAAGAGAGGATCAGGCTCAGCTCAGCTCGCGAGGCGTCACCGAGTGCCGCGGTGCCGGATGATGGTTGTTGCGGTGATGACGTCTCGCGCGGCGACATTGGGCCGTGCAACAGTCATCGGCGTCCGCCACATATTCGCCACGCTTCATCTGATATGCGATCGAATTACAGAGTGATCGTGGACAGCGCTTTCTGTCGCACCTGACCTCGCCGTTCTGAAACAAGGTAAAAGAAGCGGCATCCATTACCATTTACGTAGGTATTCTTTTGCGAAAAGAATATGCTCGTGTATAAAGCAGTTATTCACAAATCTTTTCAAAACTGTACATTTTTTCATTTAATTTCAATGTTTGAACGAGTCGCTGTATTATATCTCTTACCTTACTAAATATTATTTTTATTGAAAACAATTGGATAAATTGGGAAAAATGTAAATGCTCAATTTTTAAAAATTGCTTTTGATAAATGGATAATCAATATTTTAGCATTTCGCTTCTTCTTCTCGCAAATTTTACAATTACTTCTTTTATACTCTTCTTGAATAAATGAGAAATAAAATGTAAAAATCACAAATCATAGAAAATCCTTCCACAAATATAAAATTATAAACCATGATGCTTGGTTACGCGAATTAGACCCATATTTATAGAATATTTTTGATTTAAAATAACTTTTTAAATTCGTTTCTTACGGCCGAGATTATTTTTCACTTCGTCTTATGACGTCGCGACGCGACACGACGCAAGTCAGTCGAGGCCACAGCGCGCGCGTTCCATTTTCATCTTAATGAATGAACGTTATAATAGGGGGAGGCCGCAGGCGAACGCAAGTCTGATTAAAAGTTATTTCCTTAAAGGTTACTAGTCATACCCGTGTGTCTAGATATTGCGACAAAGCAATTTTAGCGATCATCTAATAGATGAATACATATAAATAAACGAGATAAACTTTCAGAGTTTTAGATTTTCTCCGCTTGGCAACAAGACGCAATCGCAATTTATTTCACAGTCCGATTAAAATCATTTTGTGTCATCTTAAATTTGAATATATACTTATATGCGTTTATATGTATATCGTTATTGGATAAGTAAAAAAAATTCTTACTTTGCAACGACACTTGACGCACTTCATCTCACCGTGGGAGTGCACTCGGGGATGCCATTCCATGCCGTTCTCGTAGGGTCCACCGAGCGGATATTTGCAGCCACCGGAAGAGAGTATCTCTTCCATGGTACGTCGCGTCGAAGGTAAAGCCTGATCCCTCGGTAGGTGTGCGACGTCGATTAAAGCAGTGGTAGTCGTGTTGCTACGAGGCGTCGTTACCGGGCACTGCCTGCAACAGGCCTTCTTGTCCGGCCTGAAGGCGATCTTCTCGTCGCACTCGAGCGGCGGACACTGCACCCGCGGGCATTTCACCTCCAGCGTGACAGCCTGCGAGACAAATGGATTTCCGTTGTAGATTGCGAGAGCTCACTCGACTTTTTGCATTCGCTCGCGCCAAAGTGTGTATTTATGTGTGTATTATTCTTACTGCTTTTCCTATCTTTAGCTTTAATTTAAAAAATGTCCTCGATATATTATCGAATAAATAATGCTCGCGTCTTCGACTATAGCTACACGCAGATGATTTAAAAATGTTTGCGAATTCGTTATCATTTACTCGTGCCTCTGTAATTTTAATAGAATTCGAAAGAAGGAAAAACTTACGTCACAAACACAAATGGCACAAATATCGAATCCTACTGGTGGTAAATACGGATGCCAGGACGATCCTGCGAGATGATATTGTCCGGCCAATGTGCAACCTCTCGTGATATTATTCTTGATTGTCGTGTTTGGTTCGACAGTCACCAATGCTAAACATTATTGACAAATGATTAAACACTGATAATGTAGCCTTTTTAAACGTATATAACGTTTAAAGTAAGATTTAAAATATTTGTTCCTTTATTTTTGTGAATGTTAAATATATATATATATATATAGCAAAACTTGATTATAACTTAATTGCATAAAATTGCGCACTTAAATGTGCTTACATGCAAACAGTTGTACTTACAACAATAATACGCTTTCACTTTGAATCGATAATTCTGCATCTTCGATTTTGTTTGATATATGCAAGGATTAATTTTCCTCCTTCTTTCTATATAAACATAAATAAACAAAGATATGTTGTCGTACCAGCGCACGTCGGGCAGCATTGACCAGGCATCGGTGGCTGTTCCACGGTCGCGCAAGGGACTATCGGACAGGGCATCGTGTCGCATCGCGCCAAGCCGCGATAGCAATGACACATCGAACAGGGATCCGAGCTCGACGTCCATTGCGTGCCTTCCTCGTAGAATCTGGTCTCGTGAAAGCACGCGCCGGCCTCGAAATCCTCCAACCTACCGGCACCGGGCAGGTACATCACGGAGGCGATGTCATTGTCGGCGTAATGCGGCAAACAGCTAAACGGCGCCCTAGCTTTGAAGGGAGCCTTTAAGACGTGAGTAACCTGTTTATCCGTCACCTCGAGAAAACCAATGCCCGATTCGATTCTGTAGAGCTCCATCGATGACAGTCCGGTGACGGAACCCTCCAAAGAGTATCCTGTAAATTCTTCGAGAAGTCTCCTGGCAACGGGAGCACCTTGCGCCAACAGAGGCATCGTTTCCAGATACAAACGGAAGGTCCGTGGTTCTTGAGAAGAGGCGGGAAACCCAGCGAGCTCCAACTCGTAATGCAGGGAACAATCCAGATCTATCGCGATCCATATCAAACCGACCGGTCCGGGATATATCGGTTCTTTGGTCGATCGGCGCAGCAATATGGGCGCAGCGGTGTCTCTAGCGTCTGCCACGGGTCTTTCCAAGAGTCTGCCGCGCAACACGGAGCCGAGGTGACTCGCAGCGACTACGGAGAGGTCCTCGTTGAAGAGCGGTTGTAGGAGTCTCGGTCCGGGCCGTTCCAAGGAACCGTTCGCGAGACCGTTGATCAACGAGGGCGTCAGATCCTCGAGTTCCGTTCTTCGTTTCCCACCCTCGTCCACCAACGTTACCAAGGGACTCTCCTCCTCGAGTCCTATCAACTGAACTCCGTAACGTAGCGCTCCGATACGATCCAGGAAGGCCCAGACCAATCCGGACGCCACGGACGGCGTCTCCGACAACAGGAGGGTCTGATATATATCGCAAGTCGCGCGCGGACCAACCGTGCCAACTAGACGAAGAGCCTGCGGATCTTTGCGAGACATTATACTGATCGACAACTTGCCACGGGTCAACAAACGGAGATCGGTGCCGGAGAGCGCGCTGCGAATCTCACCGAAATTCAGTTCGTTGGACGGCTTCTTCACCACTATCTCCTCGGTAAGGACCACGTAATCCTTCTCCTGATGTTCCAGCTTAACGATCAGCGGAACGTCGGCCACGTCGTTCGGCAGGAAGAGACCGTTGAAGACGAGCGACACGTGGATCGAGGGGGTCGAGGCGGATGAGGTGGCGACGATCGCCGTCGCGCCTGCACCCGACATCAACGATCGATCGACGCCCATCGTCGGTTCTAGCAGCGAGGAGAACTGCTCGCTCGACAACGCGCGGTATCGAGACACCTGACCGGTCAGACTCGACGAGGGTTCCCAGATGAAGGAGACGTGCAGACGTTCCTCGCGCAGTAATTTACGATAGTCGCGCGGCACCCGCCTCCAGACGCCGCAAAGCTTGCCGGTGGCGTTTTGGTAGGCGCCACCGATCGGATCGATCGCCTGTTCTTCGAGGATGCTGCCGAATCCATCGACGAACTGTATGTTGCGCGGCCGAGGCGTCGATGCGGACAGATAGAACGAGTAGTAGAGATTTTTGCGGTGGAAGCTGAAGCGACCGGTTGCTAGATAGTTGTACGCGCCGTTGTACGCCGTTGGATTCGAATTGTCGCGACGCAGAGATTGCGACGTTCTGCCCGTTAACAGGGTGCCGAAATCTGTAATTGCAAAATGCATCGTTAATCGTAATTTCAGTCACTGTCGTGTCCATGAGCCCGTTTCAAATAATTAGTATACAATCGAATCTTACGTTTCAAGCTTCGTTCTTCCTCCTCCAAAGTCAACTGCGCCGGCAAATCTTGCGCTATGTCTATATCTGTAACACAAAAGATTTTTTTTTTTTTCGTAAATATATACGCGTGTCGTTATCGTTATTTTATTACTCGATGCAATCTTTTTCTTTTCGTACAAAAGGTTCAAATCGATCGGAAATTTTTGCACTCTCTTTCGTCTTTTTCGTTTGAAATATTTTTTCCCTGTTCGACATCAGGAATAATTCAAGAAGGACAAACTAGACGAGACATTCTCGAGTTTCCTTGAATCGGTCTTGGAGAGGCGTATATCATATATGTAGTTTCACACACACAAACGCATGTACAACTATACAAAAGGAAAAAAATTCTCTTTCGCACAAGAGAATAGCGAGTGTTTTTTTTACATGCATGGCGGTGACGCCACCGACCGGGTGGCAACCCGGTTCTCTCTTCCTCTCCTTCATTCAGCATAGGTATAAAATAAAGATAAACGGTTAATCGCGTCGATCGTCGATTCTCAACATTCAGCAGCCTCGATTCAGCAATCGGTGGTGGCATGTGCATGGATCATAAAGAATGTCTGTAGGAAAAAGAGTCGGCTGGCGCCGCTACTTTGAATGTTACTTTTATGGCGCATACCGCGCCGGTTCAGCGCCACAGAGACGTTAATTGCCCCCGTGCGCAAAACGTACACGCGGTACGTCGTTCCTCACCCTCATCCCCTCTTTCTCCGTCGACACGCGTGAGACCAACCACGGCTATTGACCAAACTATTTCCGGCTTAATCGAATAATCGCGGCGGACGACACGACGTTCGTTCTGTCGCGCGTCGTTAATATTGAGAAAGAATGTAAATGTTAATCGAGTGGTTCATTACAAGCATTGCTCACAATCGTGCTTTCTATCTTTGTTTTCATTTTTTTGTCAATAAATCGTGCTTTTATTTTAACTAACACATTATTTCATATTTTAGGAACGCGTTATTAGAGGATTATTGAGGAAAAAAAAGAAAAAAATGGAGAATAAGCTCGTAAAGCTGTATTCTCGCGATCGATCAAAATTCTTTTCTCGAACGATTTCTGACGTACTATATATAAATTGCGTTTTTCAGCCAATATACGCACGCGTCAGTATACTCGTAATTAATGTCTAATTTATTTTACAACGTCGAAGAAGACTCGACGTCCGCATATTTTCGTGGCCGATTGTGATAATCGACGAGAACCGAATGAGAATCGATGCGACGGTTCAATCGACGGGTTCAAGGGTCGCGATACATTTCCTCGTGACGAACGTAAAAGAAAGGCGCTGTTAATTGCGCCGAGTTTCACCTTTCATCAGCAGGGGCCAACGAGCCCCTCTTCTATCAGACAGCAGTGACGACTGGGGAGGAAAATAAATTTGACGCGCGTGATATCGAGATGTCTGTGCGAGCTCTCTGTGAGAGCAAATGCGAGACAGAGAGTGGGATTGCGAGAAATGATTCTGTATTATCGTCGTCGGTGGAATCGACGCGGCGACAACAAGAAGGAGAAAGAGCGCTTTATCAAAAGTGTCGTCATATATACATACATACGTACATATACGAGTATAAAATATATATGCGAGTCTTTTTCGTCGCATCGTCAATGATCCACGCGACAGACGTTGCAAAGTATCGCGATCCATTGTCTCAATGGAGTCAAAATGACGTCGGATAATGTGTAAAGAATACACACTTTATGTAAGTTGTTTATGCAAAAAAAGTTAAATTATAAAATACACCGAGACAAGTATAAAAGTCTGAAATTGCGGTATAACGTGGAGTCGAAATGGCAGGCAGAACTTCATTACAATTGCGTACTTTGCGTAAATCGAGTGACTTTAGTACAAACGTCTCTATCGTTGTTTATAAGCATTCCGGACAAAAGTAAAAGGTCGAAAAGTAAATGGAACGATCAAACGAATATATTTTATATAAACGACATAAAAGACTCCCGTTGTTCCTCTCCCCGCTGAGCGCGTCGTATCCACATGTCTACAATCTCTCTCTATCTCTCTCGCCTCATCCGCCTCCATCTATTCTTATTCCCTGCGCGCGTTCTGCCCGATCATTACATATGCTAATATTTACATTTAGATTGCACGGCTTAATCGAAGTGACGCCATGCGGTAATATAGCCGGCGCCATGGCGCTAAACCCGTGGCGTCCGTCCTCGTCTCCTCTCGCTTCGCTCCGCTCCGCTTCTCTTCTCTTCTCTTCTCTTTGCCGATTACAACTCGAGTTCCCTCTCGAGAGAACGCGATCGGTCACTCTAAACCTTTCTTTTTTTCATCCGTCGTCCAGTCTTTTTTTTTTCCTCGTTATATCTTTTCATCATCGAGCGAAATTATATATTCATCCGTCCGTCGTCCTCTCTCTCTCTTTGTTCCTATTTCTAAATAAAGAAGAAAATGTGTATCGTCATTTTTATCCTCGAAAATAGGCGAGAGAATGCAATAATCGTGTAAACGGTGACACGAGAGATTTATATAACGCGTCTCAATTTGCGATTTATTCGGGATTATTTCGGATAAACAATTCACGTAGCAATAAATATGCAACGCACGCGGCGATAATATCGCTATGCGAGAGCGAAGCGTTTCGTGCCAATTTGCGCTCATTACCGTTGCTGACGCACGCGAGGCTTATCTGCTAACCTTATCAGGGTGCGAGATACGCTACTTTCACCGCATCGGCGGCATGGGCCAAATTCTTCGAGAGCTCCCTCTCTCCCCTCTCCCTCCCCCACCAGGCACAACGCCGTCTATTTCTCTTCGCGGATACCTAATCTGTATCGCAGCTCGCAGCTAGTCGCAGTAGAATGCGGATGGAGTAAATCGCATAGTCGAGATACTCGGAGCGCGAAAAAACCAAATGAAATATTTATGATAAACCACGCGCGCGTTGATCTCTACAGTTTCATCCCTACAGTTTACATCTCGCGGGAATTCATTTCCGTATGTGTTTTTCACGCGATTCGAGAGAAAGGGGGACGAAACTCTGAAAATAAACGAGAAAAAAAGAAACTAATCAGATATATGTTATACATTATTGCGTAACTTACTCATATCACCGGGACAGGATTTGCAGCAACGACCCGGCAATAGAATTGGTTCGTCGCACGTGAGTTTGGGACATTCGTTCTTTATGTTGCGACATTGGACTCTCGCGATGATCCGCCGTTTCTTTTGCACCTGAAAGCATCAAACAACGGATTAGGTTTGCGATCGCTATACATATGTGCTATTACGTTTGTCTCTTATTCTCAGGTTTTGCACTGTCTGCGATAAAAGAGACACCTTTATATTCTTATGTATATATATATGTGACTTTAGCTTCACTCTCTTTGCTCGCGCCAGAACGATGAGGAAGATATTTTGGAATAATTACATCTCGTGTACTAATATATATCGCATGAAACAATCTGTGTTTGGCGAGGTAATTAACATTGCTCTTCTCTAGATTGAGTGCATCAAGGATGCGTGACTCTTTTTTCGTCTCGGAAACTTTATTACGGAAAGGATAAGCGTCGCGTTCGACGAACCGCAACATTACTGCGATGACTTTAAGTGAGGAGACATGACTTCTCGTAACGACGTGTGATTCACGCGACGCGTCTGCTTCTTCTACAACCAAGATCGCGACCTATCAATAGCTCCTCATGTACGCTGAAGAGGGGGACTGTCATTCTTCCGAAGTCTAAAAATAGACGCCGCGCTCACGAGCCGAACATAACAGCGCGGCATCTTTCTCTCTCATTTTCTTCCGTCTCTCACATTTTCATCCATCTTTGCGCTCCATCGTAAGACATTTTTCAACCATTTTTCCCGTCAAATAGCCGCCATCGAACACGTACACCTCTGAAAAGTCATCGCGCAGTCATTTATGCATGTAGAAATGTGGACAAAGAAAAATACAAACTTGCAATAGAGAGTTTCATATGTACGTCGCATTTTATCACAGAAAACACAAAGCGGAATATAAACGAGGATGTGATTATCGCGCGATTCGATAAATATTTGTGTACGCATATATTTTGCGGTGCAAACTAAATCTCTTTACTCAAACAAATGTACTCTCATTTTAATTCAGTTTCGACCGAGTGTCTAAAAAAACTCGTTTTACCCTTATAGTAGCACATAAAGATTTATTTCAATTTCTGTTTTATATATACGAATTTAACGTGCGTCTCGACTCTCGTATCAACAAACATTTGTGACCTGATTCGTTCGAAGAAAAAAAAAGGAAAAATGTGCAAAGCATCGAGAGCGAAAACTCGTATTTAAAAATGATTTTAGCATGTTTCTCGATAATAAATTCCAAGGCAAAAAAAGAGGGTACTCTTTATTCATGCATGTTAATAAATTCCGATGGTACCGCATTAAAATTATTTATTAAATGCAATGTATTCGTCAAACCCTACGTGTGAGATGTGCAACATGTTTTAATACGTGGATTGTGTATATAGCGAGATACGTGTTACGCATACGAATGCCCAGGCATATATCGTACACACACTTTTTTTTTCATGCAAATAAGACGCGCGAGTTCGCTGTATATTACATACCGGTATACACTCGCATTTGATGCAATACATGATTCCAAAGGGCGGTCCTAAATCCGCAAACCATACCGAGCCTAGTTCGCGGATCTGCTTGCCAAAAGTGCATTCTGAAACAGAGGAAAACCAGTGCGATTAATTAATATTATCTAATAATATTATACGAATACAAATTGTATACAAAAATATTCATTAGATTACTAAAAACAAATTTGTATTTCGCGATTAAGAATATATTATTAGGTTGCATACATATGTGTACGTATATCTTTAATAATATTAAAATAAAATAAGAGAAAAAATGTATATGTATATGTATATATTTCAGGTGCGCGAGAAAAATATGCTTCGTCTACGTCTACGGGTTTGCTAATATAACGCTACCGTCATTGACGAATATAAGGCGCAATTTGACGCGGGTATAACGTAAGATGTTTGGCATGTGCATGAGCCGTACACGCATATTCATTCGCATTCATTTTATCGATAATATGCGTAGCGCGTAACGTTCTTTAAACCATCGTCGAATGAGACGTCGTCAACGACGCAATTTTATTCCAACTGTATAGCTATTGTTTACAAATACCGTACGCAACAGATTAAATCGATGTCATCGGTGACACAGTGGTAGGAATCTCTCGACCACTCGATCGCTATTGAGATGCACGCAAATTTTTACAACACATTTTAAAAGCAAACAACTACAGAATTTCTTAAACAAGCTGATATACCAAAAATGCAATAATATATGTGAACTAATATATATTCGCAATTCTTTTTAACGATATCATTTCTCAAGTCTCATCTTTTTTCGGGGAAAAAAAAAACTATTAAGAATCTCGTTGCCTTACATTGGCGAGCGTTGTCCTTTCCTTTTCACGTAAAATAAATACAGAGTTGAAGACACGGCTCTGAAAATAACGGAATTGTTTTCGTCGCGAGTATGTATTATGCACGCCCATGTGTTTTGCAGTGTTCTTATTTTTGCCAAGCGACTGTAGGGCGATGCCGCTTTTCTTTATTCGCAGCTTAATCCATGATCAATCTCTGAAATTGGCGAGCTTTTATTAAAATTGCTTCTTTAAATTATACTGTATTTTATTCGCTTTTGTCTTGAAAAATAAAAATGAATTTGTGTGCATCTAATAAATATAGCATAAAATTCTTAAAATGAAAACAATTAATACCTATTTATTTACAACGGAGATTAACAGCTGTGAGTCAATTAATCGTTTATACATGTAGATATGTGCATATTATACCTGATGTATGTACGCGTCTGCATATATGCATACGTAAATGGGGAAGAGAATAAGAGTATAAAAAGAAGATATTTCCATTCCACTATCGTTAATAAAAATTAACCTAAAGAGGAGAGATAGCGAGAGATGAGAAAACGTTGATTACGAGGTTAAAGACATTAATTAACGACATGAAGACGCTAATTATAATTAATACTCATCCTCGCACTTTTGCGGACCGGTCCGGGAACGAACGCGCGAACGTGGAATAAAGTACGCTAGAGAGCAGCAACAATCGAGATTGCGTTCGGAGATCTAGGCTAATCTAGAGTGAAGCGCACGATTGACCAATCGCGACAGAGAGCAGAATTCGATCAATCGGGACAGAGAGATCCTCCGGCATTTCGACCAATCGGAGACCGAGGATCCCTTCGTCCCGATTGGTCGATCGAGCGCTTCGTCCTAGGCGAATATATTTTCGAATTTATTCGCAAATGTTGCCCATTGTCACACTTGGCGCAAAGTTCGTGGTCAACGTTTTCGCATCGCTCGTCACCGGTCCGTAAAAGTACGCGAATGTGATTATATATATATTAATTAGTGTCTTTACAGTGTTAATTATCGTATGCATCCGATCACGTCGAGTGTGCCGATCTCGTCCGCGCGAGATTATAACCTCGTCGACCGCGAATCTCGCCCAACTTGGCTTCGTTTGCGTGCGTGAATTTACGTGAGAGTCGATCATATTCTAAGCAAACGATTGTGGCGTTCATTGTTTTCGACTATGGTTACGCGACGAATTAAACGCTCGGTCTTTTACGACAAAGTGGCTTCGAAAAGAGCGGCGACGCGAAAACGGAGCATCGGTTTTATTCGCGCGAAAATGTGACAGCTAAAACCCGGGCGTCGCCGCAAGTCGCGAACGAAAAAAAAAGTACCGCGAGTGCAGTGTTTCGAGTGTTTCGATTTCGAGGGAAGCGAGCTTCTTCTACGAGGAGGAGATCCGGGGTGGCATCGGCGGAGCAACTATATGTAAATCATTTATTTATTATTATTTTTACTATTAAATATAAAACAGATTTTTTGTCGAAATATTAATTATTTAAAATTTTAGTATCTAATTTATTTTATGTATTTATATTTTACAGTTTACAACTCATATCCGCTGCTGCGCATCGGTGAGTCTAATCAATTTTTCCCTATTGTGTATTTTATTTGTGCGTGAAACTCATTGTAACTTTTGCCAATTAATTAGTAAGAAATGAAATACCCGTAATCAAAGATTTTGGCGAAATGAGCAAAGAAAATGGATATATTCTTCCATCAATGTTCAACAAATTACTATGCAATTTCGATTTTCTAATAGTCGAATAATCGTAATCAATAATAAAAATCTCGAGATGTATTCGCAATTACATAGATATTTGTATAAATAGATTACGCACTCCCATTAGAAACTTGAAGGTAACAAAAGAGAACAGTTGATGCTTTCCTCGATTATACATATATAATTATGCAATAGAGAGAACATTTAATCGTGAATATATTCACATCTGTTTTTTCCTTTTTTATCGTCCATTGTCGCATAAGAGCAATGTGCAATCTATCCGCGCAAGCATCCATCTAATATGAAGCCTCGTGTGAAGTCGAATATTTAAGCATCTAACAATTAAACGATTATTAAATATTATTTCATATAATGATGCATCTGAGAAAAATGTGTATATTGCAATTATAATTTACAAATTGTTATCAAACGAAGATGATGATTAAAAATAAGATTCGTCAACGGCGACCGTTTCGGCATTTGGGCAAATTTGTGCCGCATGCCGCATCAAATGAAACGCAAGACGAGACGAGATATTTAACGCTGAAATCGCGGATGCAAAGTATATTATATCAATTTTCCAAACTTGAAACAAAAGACTCGTATCTACATATGTATATATTTTGATCGCGCTGCCGTAAGCACGTCTGCGCTCGCGATAATGTAAAATGTAAATAATGCAAGCACATAGAAATATATGTACGCACACACGTCGAAATATCCTAGACCATAATCCGCGAAAAGCGGTTGAGCGAATGGCAAACACGTGCTACCTTTCGTTTTTCGCTTTTCCGCCCTCGCATTCTCTCTCTCTCTCTCTCTCTTACGTTGGATAGATTTACGAACGTGACGCCTATTCTCGCCGTTCGTTTCTTCCTCTCGTTCTTTCTTTTCGGCATCTATCCTCTCGTCTCGTCTCGTCTCGAGTTTCACATCACCTTTAGCATCAATAGCATCGCGCCCGTCTCATCGTAACATTACGATACGAAGCGCGTACGTAAGACGGTTATCCTATCGCATCGTGATTAGGAGAGAAATTAAAAAGCCCCGGATTTCTTTTCATCTTGCTTTCTTTTCCTTTTGTTTTCCCCCGTAGAATAGTACTTGAAAAAAAATTCCGATTTTTCTATAGTAGGTAGTGTAGGTTCAAAACGTTTGCCTCTCATAATAATGCTTGCGCTGTCATAATCGACGAAAAGTAATTTCGAGTTTTTGCCAAAACGATATATATATATATGATATATATATGTGTGTGTATACAAGAAGTATAGCTACACACACATGACACTATAATTACGCTAGGTTTTCCTCGGAAATGTTAAGCGCGAACGTGACGTATAGCGTCATGTGCGCTTTACGTAACGAGTAACGAGCGCTCGTGTGACCGTGAAGCATCTTCGTAAGGTATCGCGACGATATCACACAGACCGGGGGACGATGTTCGAGCGCCACTTTCACGAGCGATGCCGCCTGTTTGCCTCATCTCGCTTCATCTCGTTTGGTCTCGCCGTGGCGTGGCACGCCACGCCTCGTCGCGTCACGCCGTGCCGGCTCTCGAGACGTTTTAGCGTCTCCGCTAAAAGCGGATAGACACGTAGGCGATGCGCGATGTCGTCCGATTATTTATGTATGCGTGAACCACCCCACCGCTTATACCTGATCCGAACCCATTATTCACTCTTTTTCTTTCTTTTTATTTCAACCTACTTTATGTTGCTAAATATCACGCCGAATATCATTATTTTTCAATTACAAATATATACGTATGCCAAAGTATTTATTTATCAGAACATTTCCTTTGCGAGCATTTCGGCGTAAACAGCTTTTTCGGATATTGGCAATATTATTTTTCTCTCATTTTCACAAGTATGATATACACTTTCAAAGAACCGCGCGCATTTTTAGTCCGAGGAAAAAAATGGAAAAAGAGTATACATCTCTGTATATACATATATACGTACATGTCCGTACACTTACGTGATATCAC